CTCCCGCGCGGCGCGCGGGGCGGGTGCGGCGACTCTGTGGCAGCGGCCTCTCGGGCGGCGGCAGCGGCGGCTGCGCGGAGCAGGCTCGTTCTCCGGCGAGGGCGCGACCTCCTGCACGCCGCGCGCGAGCGGCACGTGCAGCTGCGCCGGTTCTGGACCGCTACGCGCACTGGATCCCGCCGAATTTTTCCTCCCGCGCTTCGCGCGGCAAGGAGGCGCTCGAGACCAAAACCGGTGCCTGGGCGCTGCGCGGCTTCATGGAGGTGGTCTAGAACATGTTCGAGGACGCCATGGACTTGGTCTCCGCTATAATCTCCACGCGCGCGCGCGACGACGACGACGACGACGACGACGACGACGACGACCGGCCGGCCGGCCGGCCGACCGGCCGGGGCCGGGGCCGACGGCGCAAATGGCGTCCGTCGACGCCTCCGGCTTCGGCCCTGCGTCCCCGGGGTAAGACTAGGCGCCCCCGGCGTCGTAGCGACCGTAAATGCACTTTTCCCGATTAACGACGGGTCTGCCTCGCTTATTGGGAAGTTGACCCACCGTCTCGAGCCCGCACCCGAACCCGCGAATCGCGGCCGACGAGTCGGCGCGGGCGGCGTCCGCGCGCGCCGCGTCGTCGTTCTCGAAGCCGTCGGCTGCATGCTCCTCGGGCATCTGCGGCGCGCTCAGTCCGAGCGCGTTTTTGACCTCGCCAACGATGATTCCGTGAGCGATGACTTGCTCTTCAACGCCTATATACCTTCCGACGACGCGCTCCGTGTGGGCGATGCCGAGCGTGATGAGGCCGATGGCCGCCCAGGCCATTAACAACGCGCCGAGGACGCACCAGCAGACGAGGCGTGAGGCGGAGGGGGCGCGGCGACTCATGAGAAGAGGTGGGACAGGGTGTGCTCCTGCGCTCGCTGATCGGTGCGGCGCAGTGCCGCTTTAGTGGGCGCTGTGGGCCCCCGAGCCCGCGAGGCTACTAGGAACGCGCCGGAGGTGTTAGGCCGCGTCCCGGGCTAGGCTAGTAGGAACGCGCCGGAGGTGTTAGGCCGCGTCGCCCGCGGCGCCGTCCGCGGTGGCGTCGAGGACGATGGCGCCGCCGGGCTCGGGGGGCTCGTCGCCGCCGTGGGCGAATTCGAAGGTCGGCGGCGTCCGGCCGGCGCTCGACGGCGAGTCGCGGTTCGCGAAGGCGGCCTTGCGGCGCTCGAGCTCCGCGGCGGCGGCCGCGCGCGCGGGCGTCGCGAGGCGCGCGAGCGCGTCCTCGTCGACGTCCGGCGCGTCGTCGTCGTCGCTGAGGTCGCTGTCCGTCGGCGCGTCGTCCGCCGGCGGCGGGCGCACGGGGCGGAGGATCTTGAAGGAGCAGCGGAGGTCCGCGCCGACGACGAGCATGCCGCCCGCGTTGTCGAACTCGCCGCAGTAGTTGGGCGCGGAGAAGATGGTCACGAGCTTGCGGCCGCAGGCGAACTCGTAGCCGTCCTCGACGACCTGGTGCGCGCGGCAGATCAGCTCGAGGCCCTGGCGCTCGAGGAACTCGTCGACGACGTCGGGCCCGAACGTGTAGGACACGCCGCGGCCGTTGTAGCCCCAGCCCGTGACGCGCGGCTCCGGGTCGGACCAGAGCAGGTCGCAGAGCAGCCCGTCCTCGGGCACCTCCGTGGGCCGCGCCAGCGCCCGGATCTGGTCCAGCGACTCGAGCTCGGGGCTCAGGCCGCCGTGCATGCACAGAATCCGGTCGCCGACGACCGCCGCGACGGGCATGCAGTTGAAGCAGTCGCCGAAGACGCGCCAGAGCTTGACGGAGTAGCGCCGCTTGCACTCGTCGAAGAAGCCGTAGATGCGGTTCAGGGACGCGCACTCGTGGTTGCCCCGGAGCAGGAAGAAGCTCGCCGGGCGCCGGACCTTGTACGCGAGCAGCAGGCCTGTGTGGAAATCAACCGCTGGTTTGGGGGGTCCTGACCAAACTTGAGAATTCTCTAGCTCGGCCACATCGAAGTCGATTCGGCTGATTTTTGGACGAATCGATTGCTCTCATCGAGTTCTCGAAGCACAGCAGAAAACCTCCCGTCGAAACGGTCGCATACGCGCACATTAAAGTCGGGTTGAAGATTTGATTTCCACACAGCAGCAGGCCGATCGTCTCCACGGACTGGCGCGCGCGGTCGACGTAGTCCCCGAGGAAGAGGTAGTTGGACGCCGGCGGGAAGCCGCCCATGGCCAGGAGCTTGAGCAGGTCGCTGTACTGGCCGTGCGTGTCGCCGCAGACGTGGAGCCTGCGTGGACAACAACCGCTGGTCCGGGACGTCCCGACCGAACCTCGAAATGCTCCCGCTCGGCCGCGTCGACGTCGATTCGGCCGATGGTTGGACGAGCCGATCGCTCTCGTCGAGTGCTCGAAGCAGAGCCGGAGCGTCTGGTCCACACCGTTTTACGACGCATGTTTTGAAGTCGGGTCGAAGATTCGAGTTCCGCGCGGCGCGGCGCGGCGCGTCGAGTTCGAGGAGCATCGGCTGCGCGAGGAAGACGCGCCGCGCCTCGCGGCAGAGCCAGACGAGGTCC